GCTTCATGGACTTTGACCACGTCGTCGGCAGCACCACCAGCGTCGCAATCAGCTTGAGGCCCGTAAGCGGGACGGCGCCGGGGAACAGAGCCTCGAGCGAGTCCGCCATGAGGATGATCATGGCGATGGCCGCAGCAAAGAGCTCAAAGCAGAAGATGGCGGAGATGACGTTGCGTCCGGTGTGGCCAAAGGCCAGCTCGCCAATGTCACTGTAGTTTTTTGGATAACGCAGCTGATGCAGGGACGACCTGGACTCCAAGGGTCGCAACAGAGGCTCGCGCTCGCTTTCAGAGTCGACGGCGACGGGGAAAGGCTTGGCCATGCACTTGACCAGCAGCTTGGCGCTGTAGTTGACCGTCAACGCAAACAGGACCATCATGGAGATGCCTGGAACCCACCCGGTCATATTCAGGGCAAAGGCCACGGACAGAATGCCGACGCCCATGAGCATGTTGACGCAGTTCAGGGTCGCATGCACGGACGAGAGCTCGCCTTGGTGGTGTGGCTCTGGTGCTGCAGCATCCTGGCTCTCGACCGAGGGGGAGCTGGGCATGGTCGATCCGATGGTCGTCAGTGTGATCGGTCGGGTGTGGTCGGTGTGGTCGGCTGGCTCGTTAATCGGCCGGTCTGGTCGGTCGATCGGACGGATTTGTGGTTGGGTGGTTGGGTGGTTGGGTGGTTGGGTGGTTGGGTGGTTGGGTGGTCGAGTAGATTCCGTTGCGAGCGGCAGTCAGCTTGCGGCGGAAACGGCGGCGACGAGGCGGATCGCAAATCGAAAGCAGAGCGGATATGCGGATCGAAATCGTGCAGCTGATGAGGCCGGAGATGGATAGCGGCGATGAGAGAGGGGCTGGAAATCCGCGGATTTCCAACAGCAACAGACCTCCCGGCTTTTGCAGGATCATCCAACCAAGCATTGCAGCGCCTGGCCTTGGCTCAGGCTCGCTGCTCTGCTTCATCAGCATCCCCGCCGCTGACGTTGCCCCTCGCCAAGCCGCACCCGCTCGCTCGCCATGTCTGCATCGCTCGCTGCGACCCAGTCGGCAGCCCACCAAACTCTCAACTCGCATCAGCTCGCCGTCATCCAGTCGCTGCGTCGGCTGCCAGAGTTCGCCACAATCCCGGAGCCGGAACTCGTTCCGCTGATTCACTCGAATCGATCCAAGGCCATCCACTCAAAACAGCGCATTCTTGCACGGCTCTTTGAAAAGCTCAAGATCGATTCGGTCCAGCGGCTCATGGAAACCCGCAAGAATGAACGGGTAAGGCCTTGTCGATGATCGATAGCCGTTGCTGGATCGCTGGCCAGTGACTTCTCCATTCGGGTCCAGATCGGACGATGACGGCGACTGCCGTTCATCGGCGTCGCTGCGTCTCTAACGGCGCATTTCCTGCTCGGGATGTCTGTCTGCAGAAAATCGAGACGGCCAGCAACGTTGCCGACAGCGAAAAGCGAGTTCACGAGGAGGTCTTCAACGGCGTCTTTTCCAAGTTTGTGGTCCGTGAGATCGAGGTACCGTCGGAAGACACCGGCAAAAGTTCAATTCGATGCCGTCGCAGGGCAGGGCAGTTCGACCGATCTAATAGCTCGCCCAACGTCTCGCTGAATTCCTTGTCCAATGTCAATGGATCGCACTTGGACCACTCAGAAGTTCGGCTCGACCAAGACTGGCCGGCTGAGCCAGAGCTTCATGACGATCGGCACCGAGTACATTCGTGTGCTGGAGATTGTCCTTGCTGAGATCCACCGATCGGCTGCTCCTAGCCAGCCAGCTACTGCGTCAACCCCGGAAGCACCAGCACCGATATCATCGCTCGCTCCGCGGCGGACGAATTCACTATCGACTCGAAACAGTGCCCCGAGCTTGAGCGGCAGGGCAAGAGACGGCATGCCGGAGCCTCTGCCAGCCCCAGGGTGCGGCGGTCCAAGGACGTGAGTGTTCCGTCAATGTCCGAAACGAATCACTAATGGAATACAGCGACTACTTGCGGCTAACGGAGTGCAGTGGCCGCTTCTTGGTGCTGCTGTTTACTACATCACTTATCCTGACTCTTGTGCGGATTGCCAATTCGACCTGCCGGCTGTGGCTCGCTCAGCCAAGGGCCCACCATAAAGAAAACCGACTCGAGAGGCAGACTCAAAAAGTCGCATTCGGTATTGTCCACGGACAACTCTGCTCCGGCCCACCGACCAGAGATGCGGGACGCTCTCAAATGTCAGGGTGACTCAGGAATCGAGCTGGAGCTGGCCTCAGCACTGAATGTCAACGCCCTGATCGAGAAGAACCGATTTCTGGAGGCGCAGGTTTGTTGTGTTGCGGCTCCGCATGCACTTGCATTCTAGCACCCCCAGCCAAGTATGCCCCTGACAGCGCAGTTTGCCATCGGTTTTGATTCTACTAGGTTGCAGAGATAACCCGCAAAAACAAGCAGATGGAAGCCGAGCTGGCACAAATACACGACTTGCATCAAAAAACGATCCAGGAGACAGTCGGTGGCGATTATGACCGGCGGAGAGTGCTGTTACTCAAATCACTTGTAGTTCAACTTCAGCGCGAGCTTTCGACACTCAAGGATACTAGCCAGGGCCGCGAGGCACTTCTCGGCAGCGCAGCAAACGACATACAAAGTGCGGTGGCAGTCCTTTCGGCTGTTGTTGGCCAGGTGCGATGCCGGTAGCCAGCGTTCGATCGGATGCTCGTAGACGGAGTGTGTTTGAGACGGATGCATCAAACTCTGTGTCATATTCACCCGGGCCTCTCGATTGTTTGCAACCATCGTCAAGGTGGGCAAGACAGAGTCCGAAAAGATCAACGAGAGTGTTCGAAAACTCGACGGTGCAAGGAAGCAGCTTAATCGACAGCTTGCCGACCACATCGATGGCCCGTCCAAGAATCGCGGAGATGCCTTTTTTGAGTTTATCTCTGATTTTGTGATTCAAAAACGACACAGAGATACCTGCAAGGCGTCGATAGCCGATCTGTGCAGTGGTAGGGTCCAGCGGCTCATTCGATGACCGGCGTGATGGCGTCGGTACTGTCTGCTATTGCGTGAGCGTTCGCTGATCCTCCCAATTTGACCCCACAGGCAGTATTGGTCATCTGAATCTACGACACGTTTCCAGGCTGGAAGAAAAGCTCCACAGGTTGTATAAAGGTGAGCATTTGTGGACGCTTCCAAAAACCCGCCAATGCGCCGCCCAGCTCGTGTAGAGGCATTCCGGTGAGCTGACAACCTCTATGAACTCTTGCAGACCTGTTTGCATTCCAGTCGACTCTGCAATCATCGTTCCTCCCAAACTCGGTTGCTTTGTTTGAGGTAGCGGGTTGCTCCTCTGTGCTTCGTTTGATGGCCGCCGGTGATCCAGCCTTTAGTTGCTGGTAAGCTATTGATGCTCACGAACAATGGCCCATTACGCTTGGCCACTCTTCAACGACAGGATCATGTACTTGGGGGTTACAACGACACGATGGTTTCGCTCCGATCTGCAATGAACTCGCTGCTCAGTTTGTCGGTGCTGGTACCGAGCGCACCAGTCCCGACACTTGAGCAAGGTAAGGCGTCATCCCTGCCGAGGACTATTCCTTCGTTCCGCTTGCATACGTTCTTGGCTGCGTCGTTGGAAGCTTATCCGATATCAACTCACAATATCAGTTATGCGGCCTGGCTACCCGGCCATCCCAACCGAAGACGAATTGCTGCGGCAGCTCACGCGCTGTAAATCGAACGAACTGCAAGAGACGGTCCACTGCCTTGTCAAGTCTATACAAGTCTATACGGTTCGTTGGCTATGCGCTGTCGTTATATATCACAGCCGCGAATATTCATCCCTAACCTTTGTGCAGGCCCTTCACGACTCCGAGAAGACCGTGCTCGAAAACGAGTTGGCATTCCATAAACACAACTACGATAAATACGTGGGTATTACGCTGCTGCGCAGTGATGCATCATCAATGGCTTGTCTCTACGCCATCCTGTTTCATCGATGAGTGACTGAGTCTCTGGTCCACTGCTCCATTAGAATCGTGTCATGACCCAGATCGCAGACAGCGCAGATCAAAAGAAGCAGGCTCTGTCGGTGGAGTTACGAGGTGAGCAAGACGCCGTGTCCGCTGAGCACCGATTGCAGCGAACGCACGCAGACAGATGATCGGTGCTGACCTGCTGCACAACGCCTCACTCTATAGAGCTCCGAGAATACCTGAGGGCCCTCGATTTGAAGCTCCGGTCACTGGCATTCAAGCAGGATGACGTCGTTGGCTTTTTGAAGGATGTCGAGTCGACGCTCGGATACGGCCTGAAGAAACTGGCTCAATTGATGCAGTGATGCTGCTTGTCACTGCTGGGCAGAGAGCTACTGGCGGCCACTGCTCGGCCCGACATGCCGCTGGTACAATCGGCTATTGAAGGAAAGTCGTTTCTTTGCTCTGTCAACTGGCATCTTGATCATCCATACGACAGCTTGCATGGTCGCAACGGGCAGATTGGCACCAATCTGTCGCTCACAGTCGGCCTTTGAAGAATATAGCCTTGAATCCGGTTGATCCACCTCTGTCGACGACTGTCAACCGGCACACCACAAACATAACCCGCGTCGACTGCGATTGTGCGCACCTTGCAGCATCGGTCTGGTCGTGTGAGGGATATGTGTGTATTCATATCCGGCAAGTGAATATTCAGCGATGCAGACAGTGGGCTCCGTTTCGCTTGGGTGCACTGCAATATGGTTTGCAACCGGAAGTGTAATTGACGTCGGAACTCCAGGCTTGCTTAAGCCAAGTCTTGGAGAGTGCGAAGTCATTAAAACATTTAAAATCAAGAACCAACAACAGGGAAACAATAAACCGATGACTGATCGACCGAGTCACAGTGTTGACCTCATAGCCAAGCTCTCTGAGCGGACTCATGCCACCAAAGATGGCTCCAGTCGATCATCACATGGGCAATTTCAGGGACAACAATCGAAACAGCCGCGAGCTGCTGAGCCGCGCGCAATAGAGCTATCGTCTGATATCCGCCAGGTATAGCAGTGACAGTGCGATAACAAAGACTCCAACTCCAAAACCAGAGAAGGCGCCTGGACCCGCCTGTGAGTTAGACTGGGTGGAGTTGGCGTTGAGCTGAACGACGGCCGAAGCCAAGTAGGTGTCATAGACAGAGGTGTTGGCCGAGACAACGGTTGAGTTGGAGGAGTCAGTCGAGTTTTTGCCAGCAGGGCGTCTCTGGCCCAGAGGAACAGTAGACGACAGGGTGCAGTTGGTACAAGTTGGGTCGCAGCGGGTATAGCGCATAATGCTGGTTTTGTTGGGAGCGATCGTTGTCAGGGAGTAAACGGTGGCATTGGTTTTGCGGTCAATTTTGGAAATACACTTCTTCAAGCTTTCTCCAGTCAAATATGCATTCTCTCCGATGACGCTAAGGGCATTCAGAGAAACGTTGCTGAGGGCCGACGAGGCAGTAAGTAGCTGATCAAAGAGGCGGTCGAGTCGAGTGCGGAAGGTGTTGAAGTTGTTGAAGCACTGGATGCCAACGGTTTCGGTGTTAGTTGCAGTGAGCGGAATGGGCATGCAGGTAAAGTTGTTGCTGGCACAGACGGTTTTGGCGGCCAGGTGATACTTGTTGGAAAAGTATTTGGTGGAGGAAAACTGGAAGTTGGTGGCGACTGTGTACGGAGCACATCCGTTGACCGGGTTGCTATACTCATAGAAGATCATCCATCTGTACGACTGAGCAGGTGGTTCGGTGGTGTGTGTGCGCTGAGAAGAGGCCGAGCGGGTCATGCTCGCATGGGAAAAGGATGCGTGGTTGGGATGGGAGTTTGGGTTTGGCAAGGTGGGAGGAGACGCTGCAGGATTTGTTGCAACTGCGACGGCAGCGAGCCATCCGGCAATCAGAAGCTTGGCCCAAGTGAATGTGGTCATGGTCAGGGTGAATGCTTGGAAGGTTTCGAGCAGATGCAAGGGCAAAACAAGGGTACCAAATGTTTTCGAGAACCACCGATGGATGCTGGGAAGCGGTGCCGCATCGTACCGTTCTTATACCCGACCCTCCCCAGAGACTGTCATTATGCGCGCAGGACAATGCTTGGTGCTGAACATGCATGAAGCAGTCGCCAAGGGAGTTTCTTTGTGCTGGCGAGCTTGTTCTAGCTCTTTGTTCTCGCCCACAGGACAGATTGTTCGACAGGAACAATAGAAGCTTCGGACAATGTGCTATTGGGCTCGGAACAAACGCACAACCCCGGCCAGGCAGGCGGGTTGGCGGCGGCTAGACAATCACACATCCAATCTACGACCGGCGCTCAAGAGCACAGACCAAAGGCGATCCGATCCTACAACAATGCGGGCGCTGCGATATTGTGCGTGCCCCGGATCGCGAGAACAACCGATAAAACTGTGTAGCGGCCAAGGTCGATCTCATGGAGACGGCTGGCTCGTGGCAGCGCCATCTCCAATGCGACAATGCCTTGAGCAGATGATGGGCGAGATGGTGAGAGTGTGGGACTGGAGGAATGGGCGCAGCGGTATTGCAAGTGCATGCGAATGCCGGAAATGTGATCCGCAGATGCGGCTTCAGCTCGGCTCCACTCAGCTGCGTCGGACATACCTAACAATCCACTCTCGCTCTTCATCCGATGGCTGCCGCGAAGGCTGTCCATCGTAGGTATGAATGCGGCCAGTCGCTTCGCTGTAATAGCCGTCTCCGATATCAAACGTTCCCTTTGGGATCGACGGTGCTCGGTTCGCATCGTTTGTCAACTGTGTATCTCCTAAATCAGCGCGGATGACGAGTCTTGGTTGAGCACAGGGATGCTCCAGCATATCGGCAGTAAGGGCAAGCGATGATATCAGCCAGCTGAATATCCTCGATAGAGCCACACCGACCTGGCGGAAACCCATTCACACGCTCCGAGAAGAACCGGCGATCCTTGTCGGTGCAGTAGTCCCAGTCCTCGGGCTCATATTCGAGACCATCTTTGAAAGTGTATGTGCCCTACAACCCAACAACTTCCTGTTAGAGCGACCGAGTCGCATCCTGTGGGGCCACACAATCAAATAAGCGACTTAACAGAGCCTACCTGGACGGCGACGCCATTCTCCCACTCTGCATCATAGAGACCACCGTGTTTGAAGTGAATGGTGCCGTGGCCGTGAAATCTATGGGGTATTATTCCGATCGCGGAGGATTTAGTCCCTGGGCGGTTGTTGTGCTGGCTTGGTCTGGCATTTCCTGCGGCCAGGGCCGGGTGCAAGCGGTGTTGAGCCTGAAATCGATGGCCTGCCCATACTCACTGTCCGTCCTTGAAGTCGCCGATATAGACGTTCCCATCCGGGAAGGTGTATCGTCCCGCGCCCTCGATCCTAAGACGCCGGTTGATCGAGGAGACTCAGATACCTCCAGAGCATATACTCGTGATGGCATCATCTCGTGCGCAGGGCCAGGGAAGCAGCATTTGAACAGGATAGTCACATGGCCAAGGCAGTTCGCGGACCTGGGCTTTTGCGAATACTCCTTCCTCGTCCTCTCGCTTACCTGCCATTGACGACGGTTGCTTTGAATGGGGATTTGTAGAATGCCATTGCTGCGACTGGGTGTGAGACTGGGTCTGTCCGCAAGCGGAAGAGTCTGCTAAAACTATCGCCTTGAATACAGCGAAATGGGACACTTTCACACACGGATGACTTGTGTGGGTTGCGTGAGTTGTGTGAATCAGACGACTTTGATTGGCACTCGAACTCCATGAAATCCGCTCGCCGAATTCCTCTGGCTATTTTGTTCTTTGCTCTGCGTCTTCCCTCATCCCATCCCAGACATGTCTTCGTACCCTGACTTGCAGTGACTGCATCTGGGGCGACTCGCTGGACCCCATCGTGCCCACTCACTCCATGCATCGCTCACGCAGGGAAATGACGACCCACTTGGCCGGGTGTGTGATATGATCCGACTCCGCCGTGTTTGTCTGAATGAGACGATTTGTCCCATTTTTTCTTCAACACGATCTACACCAAGTGGAGGCTCGCATTGCTGCAGCCGGACATTCAGTCCAATCACATTGTCGTGGACATAATCGAGCTGTTTCCAGCTTTCGCTCGCAACCGAATTCTGATCTTCCGACTCAATGAATATGGATTTGAAGCTGCTGTATTGCCGAGACGCACAGGTCACAGACTTTGGATTCTGGCTTGGCTTGAGCAAGCCTGGAGTTCCGATGTCAATTACACTTCTGGTTGCAAACCATATTGCAGTGCACCCAAGCGAAACGGAGCCCACTGTCTGCATCGCTGAATATTCACTTGCCGGATATGAATACACACATATCCCTCACACGACCAGACCGATGCTGCAAGGTGCGCACAATCGCGCAATCGCACAATCGCGCAATCGCACAATCGCAGTCGACGCGGGTTATGTTTGTGGTGTGCCGGTTGACAGTCGTCGACAGAGGTGGATCAACCGGATTCAAGTTTATATTCTTCAGTGTCAAGAACGATCAGCAGAGCTACCCGTGGACCACTCAATCTCGAGCTATCGATGTCACGAAATCGGTTCATGGTGGATATGCAGGGAGTCGATGTTCACACGGATGATGTCCGCGGTTGAGTTGCTAGCATTGGCCTGTGATGCGACGCCGACTGTTGATGCTGGTCTTAACGAGTCGGGGACAGACGTCGGTTGAATCCTCCTCTTCGGTTCATATATTGGCGGTATGATCGAGCCTTCTTCAGATTGACAGCATTCACGGCCGAGACATTGGCATCAGATACCTTCTCTCCCTGGAGAAACATATTTGTAGACGGATTGAGTCAGGGCGATATCTATCTATCTGTCTGTCTGTCTATCTGTCTTTCTGTCTGGTTGTACGAACTCTGCGCATCCCTTTGAGCACACGACAGCGGCAAATGTTCAAGCGGCCACCCAGATTACCTTGGTACTATTGAATCCGCCAAAGCCCATGAGTTTCATCATCTGCTCCTCCTCGGTCAGTTCTTTCTCTGGCTCGGCATCCATGTTGGCTGAGAGTAGAGCGGTCGTTAGAGGCTCCAGGTGTTGATATGGCGCCAACGGCGGCCTGTAACATCCATATCCTCTCCGGAAACAGGGCACTGGAGCACATCTCTTGATCCAGAACGCTGTCGCGCACCCCGATTTGTGTCAGGGGCCAATGCTCCACTACACAGGGATCTCGGTCCAGTCCCTGTCACTCACCGTCCTGGGCCGACTTCTCGTTGTCACTGCCATCTCGCTCGATGGAAAAGGATCGCTGTCGTCGACGGGTTGGACCCTCGTCTTCACGTCGTCGCTCGCGCGGCCGTCTCTCGTCTGTTGGGATACACCCAATCCCATGTTTTGTAGAATTGTGCAATAATGAGGCTTTGATCAGTCATGATGGATAATCCGGTCAAGCTCGAGGATCTGCACGCTGAGCAGAGGGTGAGAATATTGGCCTCCCCGCAGTTACCTCGACGCCGGTCTGGACTAAGCGATGGCGAACGGCGCCGTTCCCGTGACCTGTTTCGATAGCGATCCCTCGATGACTGTCGATACCGGTCTCTGGAGCGGTCCCGGTCCCTTTCTGCAGAGCGGTTTCTTGGCTGATCTCGTCCTCGGTCTCTTGATCGGTCTCTGTAGCGGTCCCTGGAGCGATCGCGATCATATCGTCCCCGATCTCGGTCTCCAGAACGGTCTCGTCGGCCACTTCCTCCTATAGCCGAGCATAGCAACAAAGAGATATCAGCCGGATATATAGCTCCATTTCAGTGGATGCGTCGACCATCGTGAGGTTGGCATTGCGACTGCTGCCGCAGCTGGGCGATTGCCACCAGGGCTCACCATAGTTATCGCCGTTTCGAGGGTCGTCCAGATCGCGGTATTCCCGATCGCGGCCGCGGGAGTGAGCCTCCTCGTCAAGCTCGGCGTAGTGTGTCCGCCGCTTCTCCAGATCTCGTTCCCGTGGGTCCCGGCCGTAGCGGCTCATGGTGTTTGATGTGGTGGTGAGATGGGGTCAGAATGCGGAGGAACTGGATCGGGCGGTTTGGAGCGGCTGTCTTCTCGCTTGCTCTGTGTTGGCTGTGCCGCCTCAGCGAGAGCGGCCGAGACGACAGCGACGCGGTCTCGGCTCTGTGTCGCAAAATGCAAGACGGCCGAGGTCGAATCTGCCCCAGCGAATCCACCACGGCCATCGCAAGCAGCCGACAAGCGACAAGCAACAAGCAACAAGCGACAAGCGACAACCGGCAGCCGACAGCAGGCCACAGATAGCAAAAAGCAGGCATGCCGCCCAAGTCAGAGGAGAAGAGGTGAGCCGCCTGCCCAGCGACCGGCGCCTCTGCCGACGGCCCTGCTGACCTGCGTAATGCCGATGCTGATCCGCCCTGACATAGCTATGCTGCGGCCCTGGGAGGCGCCCGACCGAGTAAGCATTGCTTTCATGTGTCTGTATTATGCATTTCTTGGACGTCCGGGGGCATATGGTGGTGCACTGGCTCCAAACCCCGTGTCCTTCGTTTTCGGGGGGCCATCGGAATTGAGCCAGTCCGTCTCATTGCAGGAAAGCCGGTCGATTTGGCAAGCACAAACACGAGTGATATCAAAGAGTTTCTGAACGATCGTAGGTGCTATGACTGCGGCGGGCCGCCATGTGTATCTGGGAGTCTGTCGTGCAGTACCGCATGTTATGGTGCTGTGCTTGTCTTCCTCTTCCTTCTTGCTGACGCCCTTGAGTCATCCTCATCTTCAGGATGGCTCGCAGCGCTCCAGCGATCCCAGGACGCCAAGCTGCCTGCTGAAGGTAAGTGTGTACCGACAACTGAGCACAGCAGGCTTCAGGCTGTTTGAGCCAGCCCTCTGAGTGTACCGATGCGCTGTGGTCGGCTCGATCCCACCGACAAGTTACGCTCATGCACTGACGAGCCTCCCACATCAAGCTCAACCCGATGTTCACAAAAGCACGCCGAAAACCTGGAGCCACAAGTCCGGCCCACAGGCGCTGGCCTGGGGCGACAAGTCCAGTCCCATGGCCATGGCCGACGGGCAGGACTTTCTGCAGGTGCTGAGGAGATAAGACCGCAAGTCGGGCTCGCAGCTCTCATCCGGCAGCAAACGCGCAGATGGATATCGATGAACAAGGATTACGACCGGCCAAGCCAGCTGAATAAAGCCAACGTACTGACAATTGGCGATCTCATGAGAGGCAATCGCTGGCGAGACGAGAATGCTCGACACTCGGACAGAACATGCAATCATCCGCCTCCTCCAACGAGTCGCTGTCGAATCTAACAATGGATAGATGGGCGGAGGGCGTGCGGGGCATATTCAGGCGTGTTTGCTCGGCCAGGCTGGATCGCAGTGACGGTCTGTGAACTCAATCGGCCGGCCCTCATCGTGTCTCGGCAGCATCGTTCTGTCTCCTGGGCGCATCACTGTTCTGCTGGCTGGGCGACCGACTGCAATGTTTTCGATGGCAACTTGAGCAGCTTGCCTGCGATATTCGGCCAACACGGGTTGGCAGAGCAGCGGCAGTTCGATGTCGTCACAAACAATGGATCCAACATGCAGTCATCAGCGCTACTGTGCGGGGGCATTTCGTTGCCACACACGACCGGATCGAGTCTCGTCCGATCAGCCTATCATCGAGAGAATGCGCTACCGATGCTTGACCTGAATCGATGGCCTACCTTGGTTGTGTATGCAGTAGAGAAAATATGGCAGAACGTCGCGCTCGCTGACGACCTGCGAGTGGAAGTGCTTTGTGACCGAGCCGACCAGTTCCTCCGGGGTCTCCTTTGCCTTGATCTTGATGCTGTACGTCCGCTTGTACTTCTTTAGGATCCTGTCGCTAACCTTCGAAAAGTCCATCTGCGATGCCGGACAGCCCATTCTGATAAGACAATCGGGCTCAAATCGATAAACCAACATGATCGAAGAGCTGCTGTACTGAGCGCATGGAGGGGCGGGTGCATGTTCTCGCAGAGCCGCTCACCTTGGGGGCCCAGTCTGGCTCTGCAGCGTCCAGGCGCTTGGCTGACGGATGCTTTTTCTTCTTCGACGATGGTACTGTCGGGAGCAGCGGCTGGACCATGCTCGAGCTTGACAAAGGGGTCGGTATAGACACTGGCTTTGACATTCGGGCGAGTCTGCTCAACGAAGAGAAGCACCGAATAGCAGCATTTGGAACGGTGCGGCGACGGGTATGAGCACGAGGGTGTTCGCGGTGGCTTGGAGAAGCAGCGAAAGTCGTCAGGGATGCTCGTGTGAAGATATACCTAGGTGGGTGTGAGGGATGCGAGGATGGGTTTGGGCTTGGGCTTGATAGGGAGCGGCGGCCAGACAAAGCGCAGATGAGCCCGATGATGGACGATGGACGATGGGCGATGAGCGATGGACGATGGGCGATGAGCGATGGACGAGGCGAGCGGGAGCGACATTGCCAACACGCGCCCTGTGTGTGCGTGTGCCGTCTCGCCACTTGCCGAGAGGCTCTCTCGCCGCACACAGACAGTCGGCGCAGCAGCTGTGTCGTCTCGCTGGCGGCGGTCTCGCTCTCGGTACAGCCAATCTCCGACACGTCGCACAAACGCGG